TTGTGGCAGATACTTTGTCACGCATCAATGTTGAATCCCTTAATTCCGATTATCCAGATTTAAAATCTATTAAAATTGCTCAAGACCAGTATATACAATTAACGCACTTACTCAATAAACAATTTTCCAACAAATATTTACGCAATTGTCATTTATCTCAGCAAAAAATTTAAGATTCAGATTTTAAACTTTGGTGCGAACCAAATTGTAAAAAAAAAAATATCAGATAATTGTAAAAATATCAAGTTAGTTGGCCCCCTTACACCTTTTAAAAGCTATTCGTACTTACTCACTACAATTGACTGCTTCAGTCGCTGACCAGAAGCATTTCCGCTCAAAGATGTCGCCGCTTCAACGATCTCTTTCGCAATTATTTTTCTAGGTTTGGAATACCTCACAACATCGTCCTTTTAGGCCTCCGATCTTCTCTTAAGCAAGACCTCGGCTGTTCTTCTGCCGAACTTGTTTACGGCCAACCTCTCCGACTATATACCTGGTGAATTCTTCATAAAGTCACAACATTCGTTAGAGACGGAACCCATTTTGCAGAATTTGCATGAAACATTTTCGAATCTACAATCAACCGAAACGTCATTTCATTCACGAGACAAACCTTTTCTTCATAAAGATCTTTTTAAATCCGATTACGTTTTTGTCAAAATTGAAGGCATGCAACCTTCACTTACCTCTCGTTATGAAGGCCATTTTAAAGTTCTTAAAAGGCTTCGAACGACATTCATAATTTCAAAAAATAATAAAGACTTACCTTTAAATATAAATCGTTTAAAACCCGCATTTTTACTTAATGACAAGTTAAATAACTGCCATAGTAACGACACGTTTTCTATCAAAAAATAATTCAAAGTTCACTTTAACTTTTCTTGCTAATTTATCTTTAACTTTCGTACTTTTAATGTTGAATTTTACGTTTGGTTTTCTTGTGAAAGGAAGAAATTATAACTTTTATCAAATTACCTAAATTGTTATATTACCTTTTTATTGATATTTTGATGTAAAATCATTCCATTACAAACTTTCATCGAGACAACACGTCCGTCTTTGTATTTTAATTCTAAAAAGAGTTTAAATTATTAATTACTACTCTTTGGTGTTCTTCTCTCAAACGGTATCAAATATTTTTCCGAATTTGCAAAAGTTGTTTTAATATTTAAAAAGAAAAATAATTTGTTAGTAGATAATTTTGGGAAATATTAATAGGGATTGAGTTGAGGAGTATTTTAATTGGGGATTATTAATTTCCGTATTTTATCATTATACGAACGATTATAGTTATAGAGACGATTATAAAGTTTTGATTGAATTACATAATTAAAATAATTAAATTAACTTTTATAAATATCTTTAAAAAAAAAATCTTTAAAATTTTTCAAAGTAATTTCGTAAAATTAAATGTAATTATTTCAACACACAAGATGTAATGATGATAGCGCGTTTACATCAGAATTAATGTCTTTTAATAACTTCTTGTTGTCTTTACCTATTTTTACCTCAAGGCAATCTTGCGACCCTCATAGTTAATTGATGACGCGCATCTTTTGCAATACGTACTGCGGTTATATTTTAATTAAAATCTTGATGTTCAAAAAAATTTTAATAACTTTTTGACCCAATAAACAATTCATATACATTTTTTGTTGTTGGTGCAACTGCTATTGCCTAATTGTTTTTGTCAAATTTATAAAACCTACACACATTTGTTAAATTCAAAAAGCAGTACAAAAACATAGATTCAAAAAACTACTCAATATATTTCTTTTTCAATATTAACGCGATCAATGTAACCCGGATATATTCAGTGCGCGTCAAATGTTAATTTTTTAAATTAATTTAAATTAAATTTGATTATTTGTATGCATTTTAACTGATCAATTCCATTTAATCTCAAGTATGTTATCAAATCGCGTGGGGAAGACGTTACAAATGTCATATTGCCAAAAATAAATAACTTTTTTTATAAAAAAATTTGTAGAATTCATCAATTTAATAAGAAAAAATGAGAAAATAAATAAGGTATTATTTAATATAAATAAGAGAAATTATAGTAAGATATTTTGATTTATTTCGCATTCAGCAATAAATTGCAATATGGGTAGACGATCGATACATTAGAATTACTAAAATTGAATTGTCTAATGATTAACTAATATTATATGTGCCTTATATAATAATATTCAATATTTAATGCTTTGATTATATATAATATGGATTGAGCCAACGAGAGAGATAGCTTGCGCAAGGTGATCGTTAATTTTGGCGGTAAATTTAAAACAAAATTAATAAATGAAAAAAGAAAAAAAAAATAAAATAAAATTTCCTTATTATTTATAATACTTACAGGTGATGTGAAACTGTATTATCGCGAACTTTGCACACGAAACAATACATTTTTAAACATAACGGTGTGACTGGCTGTGACACAACAAAACGATAAACGTCAGGTTTGACACTTTTGTGCNTTTTTCTAATTTAACCCATCGATTGTTATACATCGATTTAAACAGAAAGCTTTAAGCTTCAATTTAAAATAAGTTTTATTTCTTAATTTTAATAAACACGCTTTCCAGGAATTTTTGAATTAGCATCTTTTTTGACACTTAGACTATGCGTACATAGGGGGATTGCATATTTTAGTCTGAGTGCATTTTGATAGTGTTTTAATTCTGTCACAGTTTCAAAATGTTTGACTTCTTGGGACACAAAGGGTTAAGTAAGTTTTATTTAAACAGTGGTTCATAATTTATTCATTAATTATTAATTTATTTCATTTTCGGCTTGTGAAAACGTCAACAAATTCATAAGGCGTTTCGATTTGAGGTTATAATTATAGAGTTACATCCCTTAGAAGAACAGACGTACTTTTCTTCGTGGCTATTTGAATTGTACAGCAGATATATTAAACTAATGCTATCTCTTTCTAACATACATTATTCTCTAGCGATTTGTGAATTTTAATTTACTACGTATGGCATTTGTAAGAGGGGAAAACGATGATTTACTGCCAGCTCTCGTGGCGTCTACTATAACAAATCATTTTTTATTAAAAACAACTTTTCATGGCACACTTTGTGTGGTGCATGGCACACTACACACCTTTTAATTGTACGTAAAAAAAAGTTTTATGATTATTAATCACTAAAACTACTCGGTAACCAGGTAGGTGACTTTCGGTTCAATGCTTTGATTATATATAATATGGATTGAGCCAACGAGAGAGATAGCTTGCGCAAGGTGATCGAACCGAGATAGACATAGAAGCGTACTGACATATAATGGGCGTGCGTTAATTTTGGCGGTAAATTTAAAACAAAATTAATAAATGAAAAAAGAAAAAAAATAAAGTAAAATAAAATTTCCTTATTATTTATAATACTTACAGGTGATGTGAAACTGTATTATCGCGAACTTTGCACACGAAACAATACATTTTTAAACATAACGGTGTGACTGGCTGTGACACAACAAAACGATAAACGTCAGGTTTGACACTTTTGTGCGCATGCGCCCGTCTGTTTAGTACCGTTTTATGTCTATCGTTGTTACACTTTCACATTATCGCTTTCCATCTGCGTCTATTCACCTTGAGCCACATTTTTGTTAGTAGATATATTCAATTAGCTCAATCCATATTATATATAATCAAAGATTTAATGCAATATGATCATCATATTCATATTTCGATTTCGATAAGATATATATCTTCCAGATTATGAGACGATGATCAGAATAGCTATAGATATTTATCGCTATAAGAACCATTTTTGACGAAGACTGTATATGAAATAGTAGAGCTACTTTTTTGTGAAACTTACAATGGCGCAAAAAAAAACGTGTTTGAAATTTACGATTTTCAGACACCTCCTGTATCTCGGCTATCTGAAAACTTAGTAAGAAAGTAAAAACGGGTTGTAATAGATTTTTTCACGTAGAATCCAATGGTGCCCATTGAATTTTTCTAGTCATCGTAAATCGTAAAATGCTAGGAATTATCTTGAGAGAAAAGATGCAAAAACGAAAATAACCGACATCATGGAAAGAACGGCAGACGTCAAATGGCAATGGGTAGGACATGTAGCTAGGAATCATGCAGGCCGGTGGATTCATAGGATCACCTTGTGGAGGCCAAGGGAAACCAAAAGAAATGTAAGAAGACCACAAGCGAGATGGAGCGACGACATCAAGACTGTAGCGGGGAAACAATGGATGAGGATAGCAAACGACAGAAAAGCTGAAAGTTGAAAGAGGCCTATAGCCAACAATGGAAACAAGAAGGCAAAAAAGAAGAAGAATAAATATTCCGAAAGCTCAATATTCTGATCAAAATAATTATTATAATTGTTTTCGTTTTAATATAGCATTTCTGTGTTCATATTCTATTGTATGATCTGTAACTTATCCTAGAACACAAAACGCTGTAAAAATTAATGAAAAGTCACCATGATATTTGGTATATAGGCAATTTTAAACGATAACATCAAAAACACACATTAGATCATATAAACCTTAAATTTTTAATTTACACTTTCTTTACCATTTTAACCAAAAAATAGATTTTAGGAAAAATAAAAATTTACAAACGAAAATAACATCAAGTAACATCCTGCATGAAAAACTTTCACTAAATGCCAAATGGTAGCAATATCCGGTATACAGATTCTGCATAAACCTTCAATTTCAGCTTTTTGTTTATATGGATACCGAGAAATTTTCGATTTACACATTAGCACGTTAGTGAAAGCACAACGGTTAACAAAAGGAACGATTTGAGTACTTCATTTAGCGAATGTTTTGAATATTTATTGCATAATTTCAAGACTTTACTTGGTGATAATTGTTACTACCTACTTATTTGTATTCTATAAGCGACTAAAGCAACAAACGATAAAAAGTAGTATTAGGTGTAGATAGTAAAATTAATAACATAGCTAAGTCTGCATTCATACTAAAAAGATCTGAGCTTGTTGGCCTAAAAGCGAGTGATTCACTACAGCGGCCCGCGATTATTGCGACAAATTCGTGTGCTTTTACCGCCAAAAGTAGGTTAGAGAAAGTTAACTTTTTACAATGAAATCCGCGCTGTGTTCAGTGTAATTTTAGCAACGGCCGTGTTCGCCGCTGTTTCCTCGCTCTCTACCAAACATCATCAAAAAGAGGTAAGCATAAAAAAAATATTATTATAAGTTTACAACAATACTGCTTGTGTTGGCAATAGAAACTTTTTCTATTTAAATTTGAACACAATTTAAAAACGAAAATTTAAAAGATCAGTTTTTGATTATAAGTTATTTATAAATTTTGCTCTTTCGGTTTTCGTTAATTCGTTCTTCGCATCCGAGATTTTCTCTCGCGTGGTGATAGCTGACAACTTTCTACTGCGGAATAAACTCGAATTAACCTCATTCCAACGGAATAAGTTACGAACGGTGATATACGTTCGGGATATGCTTACGATAAGTGCGAGTTCGTTTCATATCTCTTGTGCCTGTGTTGTATCTAGGCCAAGTCGTTTCCTGTTCTTATACTCTTGGAACGTTATTATAAGATATAATAGAATGTACGCATACATTTCAAAATTGTATCTATAATTCAATTACTATTATCAAACTAAAATATGTTGAAATGATGTGTCTAAACATCTAGATACATATATAAAAACCCTCACAATCAAATGAAAATTCAATTAAATTTTAATTAATTTTATTTTATAGGTTTAGAGGCAGTTTTTTCTCATTCTCAAATTTGCTAATTTGATTCAAATTTTTTTCAGACGTGATATTTGAATAACTTCTTAAATAGTTTCTTCTTAATACTTTCAATGCGACACGATTTACATACTTACTTCTTCGAACAATCATTTCTTTAAAATAATCGAACGTATTTTATTAGGAAGTTATGTCAAGAAGACAATTTAGATTGTATAATCCACGCAAACAAAGACATCAATGTCCTGATTGTAAGCTCAATACAATTATCATACATCTATGTGAAACACGTATGCTCACTACTACACACATAATGACTTAAATCACTCTCGTAATAAAAGTGTTATTTGTATAGCTTGCAAAATCTTTCGTTAACGTCTGAAACAAATATATTGATTAATATTGTTATCATTAATAATGGTCATAATGATGGTCATAATAACCATCAGTTGCTTGTTATTGCTGAATGTTTGAGATTATCGCAACAAAATTCAAAATACAAACGTTTTCTGGAAAAATAGTTGATTACGAATTATTATTTTTCATGGTTCTTATGATTTAAGCAGCGAAAATATGGGTTTAAACACATATTTGGTTTGCCACCCGAAGATAGCACTTCACGAAATCGGGAATGTTATAACCTAAATTTTCTATATATAGAAATAGCAGTAAAAGTACATTTTATATGTTACCAAAGAAGATACATGTTTCTGCATTATTTAGCTATTAGATCTTATTAGCAACATTTTCCATTTAAAAATCATAAAATCGTTGGTTGTTTTATTAAGTCGATGCCAGTTATTTATTTCCAAAATTCTTAAAGTTTATATTTGGTTATACTCTATAACCTAATAGTCGATTATGTCCTAAAGTAAAATAGCTAGCGAAAAATGAAATATAAAAATTTTTGTGTTTTTTAAAATCTATTATAATAAAGATAAATTAAGTATACAGGATTAATCAAAAAGTTATGACGAAACAAAGTTACGTTTTCTTTAACAACACCCGTATATTGTTCCATATTTCTTTACATCTTGAAATTCTAAACAAAATGTCATGGGGAAGATCATAAACCTAAACTTTACCGTTTTCCAGACATCGAGCTTTTAAAAATTTACGAATCTATCTAATTAGTTACGTACAGTGAAATTCCCCTAACTCGAATCACTAAGGGAGCGCAAGAAAACTTCGAGTTATGGAGAATTCGAGTTAGAGAAAAATTAGAAATGTACTTTTCTAATACGTATATTTAAAACAGAAACTTTAATACTATTGTAAGTAGAAATTTAATCAAGTTTTTTTAAGTAATCCGTAATTTTCTATTGGCTTAAAATGGACAACCGCTCTTTGTCGAAAAAATCTTCTATTAAATGTAAAGAATTATGAATATTATCTAGAACATTCTCTCTTGATAATAGTACAAAGGTTTCAAGCTTTCTAAGGGAGGAATAAGCTTCATCAAACGTAGGCACAGCGATAAGCGATTATCATAACCCTCATCTGATTCTGAAACAATAAGAACATTATGTTAGTGTTGGTTCAAGAGTCTGTAGTTTCTGAGCCAGACTCTATGTGGTTTGATTCTGTAGTTAAAATTATTTACAGAGCGGATTCGAATATTTTATTCTTTGGTAAATTCGACATATAGAAGTAAAAGTTGAAAAAATTCCATAGTAGTTCAGTTCGAGTCAGGGAAATTCGACTTAGAGAGATAAAAACACATTTGAAACCTAGTCAAACGCTTAAGATTACGAAAATTATTCGACTAAGGTCCATTACTACCATCTTTTAGATAAATTTATCTTATAGATAAACCCATCTACTAGCCAATCAGAGCGCGTAAAATGGCCGTAACCGTGGTAATAATCCCTTAGATAGCTTAGCCAGAAGATGGTAGTAATGGACCTTAGAGGATAATTCGAGATATAGAAGTTTGACTTGGGGAAATCACTGAAATCACTGTAATTTACATTTAGGTGTAAATTGTCACTGCATTGCTATGGATGTGAGAAACTTTCAAAGGTAACCTGATGAACTATTAACATAATCGACTAAAATATTTTTGTGTAATTTATAAGAGTGATTTTCAAAGCTCAATATCTCGAAAACGGTTAAGTTTAGGTGTATTATGTGCTATATGAATTTTGTTTAGAATTTCAAGATGAACCGAAATATGGAATAATATAGAGGATGTTCCATTAAAGAAAACGTAAGTTTGTTTCGTCATAACTTTTTGACTGACCCTTTATACTTAATTTATCTTTATTGTAATAGATTTCAAAAAACATTAAAACTTTTGTAACTTAACATTTTTCGGTAGCTATCTTATTTTAGGAAATAACCGACCGTTTCCATACATATCAGTGACCCTGTATAACTGTATAATATATGATATAACCTGAATTCAATTCAATAAATCAAATTACAATTTACAAATACAATTTCGAAAATATAAGAAGTTTAAAATATACGAAGGCTTTCACGGCCGGTGTTAATTAAATTAAAACTAGAACTAATAGTAGCACTATCACTAGATCTAACACTAGACCTAGAACTATAAACTTTCTGATTAAGCCGGGCGTCTTTTGAAAAAATGTTTGACGTTTCGGATGCCACGTTGCAACCTTCTTCAGCAACAAGTACGAAATGATTTCGAACGACCGTTTCCATACATATCAGTGACCTCTATAACTGTATATGATATAACCTCAGTAAAAGTAATTCAATTCAATAAACCAAATTAGCTAAAAGTTGTATAATTTATAAATACAATTTCGAAAATATAAGTGCGACGTCATTTCGAACACTTCGAACTTGTTTCTGAAGAAGGTTGCAACATAGCATCCGAAACGTAAAACATTTTTTCAAAAGACGCACGGCTTAACCCGAAAGTTTCTAGTTCTAGGTCTAGTGTTAGCTCTAGTGATAGTGCTACTATTAGTTCTAGTTTAATTTCGAAAATGTTGTTTATCATTTGAATGGTGTGATGCACTATAATTTGTAATTATTTATGTTAGTCACTACAAGAAAGAAGATACACATATCTTACAGTACAAATCGCAATTTCATCCTGAGCTATCCCTTTCCTTAGTTTTTTGTTAATATGTTTTGAATATTTTAATGTTCATGCACGCGTTCGATTATTTTTTTTCAGCCATTTGGTTTTACCATACTTTTTGAAAACATATTAATGGTGTATTTTTAAAATTAATAACATCAATTATGTATGCATTTAGTAATGCACTCAACTATCATACATTTAGTTTTGATAAGATCAACGAGTAAAAATTATAGACCGACTGACTTTTTTCGAAGTTCGAAAGGATATTATATTCAGATATGTTATCATCGCAATCCACCACAAACTCACTGCCCTTCACCAAACATATACAGTACGCGTCATAAGTAACTTAAGGAAACCATATAAAAACCATTCAAGATATCGTCAGGAGCCGAAACACATCGATTTTTATTTTTTCTTAACCCAAATAATTTAGCAAAAAAATGGTTTATCACTTTTAGTTTATGCGGAAATGGGTCAACGTTGTTTTTTTAAATGGAACACCCTATACATTATAACATTTTCTGATAGATCTTGAAAATGGTTGATTCCAACATCGTTATATTGAACAATAAAAGGTAAATGAAAAAACGATGAAATGAATTTCTTATTTTACTTTTTTTATTACTTTTTATTTTTTTCATTTACTTTTTATTATTTTCTGATAGAGGTAAAAAATACGAATCCAATGATATCTCACATCATTGGTTAATTAGTTTTTAGGATAATAATTATTAAAAATTCTGATAAAATGGGGCGCGCGCAACCTTTAAACCATGTTCCGTCTTTTCTTGGTATTAGTGTTCTGCATTTCTATTCAGATGGTATCCTTTTACTTGGGATAATTATGTTAAATAGGGTGTGTATTTCGTCTAGCAGTGCGTCTCCGCTATATTTAATCGTATCGGTTGCTATTTCAGCAATACTTGGTGATATAAACTTCTTCAATTTCTGTGTTATTGTTTTATTTTTCCTTTGGATAAGTTGAATTCCGATTGAACGTTAGTTTCCACATATGCTTGTGGAGATTTTATGTTTCTCTCGTTTTCTGCCATGTTTTCATATAGCTTTCTGAAGTATTTTTCCAATCTTCCGCTTTTATCTTTCTCGTTGATTTCATGTTCCAGATATTCCTCTGACAACCGTATAGGTCACTCTCCATGTCTTACGTAAACTTTTCTCCGTAGTTTTCTTGATTGATTGGATATTTGCGTTTATTATGTTTCTCAGTACTTCGTATTCTTCGTATGCTATTACGCCTGATCTATTCTGAAAATACGATCTTCGTTTCTCCGTTCTATGTGACTCTTCTCCTTAATGCTTCCTCTGCTGATTTAATTGTAGTTGAGCGTAGTTTTTTCACTGCAGTTTCAGTGTAGTCGTATATTCATTTATATTTTTTCCTCAGTCTTCATTGGTATAAGTACTTTGCTTACTTCATTGAATCTGTTTTTGATGCCACATATAACCTCGTTGTGTTAATTCTCGCATTTAAGTCTCCCAACATTATGATTTTATCGCTTTCCGGTACGTCATCCAATTCACTTTGCAGGTTGTAGTAAGTATATTTATCTATTCTTTTATTTTATTGATGTCTACACGGATAGTGCGCGATTATTATTCGTTTAGGTTGCGCTATTTGTGCTATAAGTAGATATTCGTTTTATCATAAGCAGTTTGCGTAGAGTTGTCGTAGAGTTACTCACAAATTTTGCCAGGTCATCTGACTGTCCTTACAGGCAGAGATAAAATAAAACAAAATCAAATAAAAAAATCAGACCGAAAATATTGTGAAGTGTTGCACACGATCACATGATATTTTATCACTATTCCAAGTTAAGTTTCTTAAGTTTGTCAAGTTTCTATTATTGCCTGCCAACTTCACTAAATACCGCTGCTAAATATAATTTATTTTGTATTAAAGTACTTTTAGAATATAAAATGATTTATAATCATTAAATAAATACCTTAAATCTAATCAAAACCATTAGAAAGTAATTAAAATATCTCCTATCCATATAATTAACATTTAAATTATAATAAGTATTTTAAATGACATGCTTAAAACAGAACATATCAATTAATATTTTAGAATTGATATTTTATTCCGATAAAACACATGTTTTTTTTATAAAAAAAAGTATTTCATCATATTAAATATGTTTTTACATATTATTCTTGATGACACAGTTATATGTTTCAACCGGAAACAACTACACCACGTGCTCTGATTTTACGATAAACAAGTTTAAACAACCGGAAAAACAACGTTAAACCCAGATATAACCTTACTCGGTAACAATTCCATTAAAATTACCCTTGACCAACTTTTCACAATATGTTACATCTTCAATCATCATCACAATCAAAAACAGATTAATTTCAAATGTCAACTAGTAAACAAAGTTTACATTTTTAATGTACTAATCTTACCATTGACGATTTTTTCAGCCCGATCACTTTACAATTTAATTAACTTTACCACAGATGAATACCTCCGCCTTACTCTTAGTAATTTAGGTCACTTTACCGTACAATGCCGCTTCTTACAGTTGTGAAAGTGACGCGAGTAGAAAGTGAAAATAAACGAGGCCTTCTGCTGTCAATATCAAGAAACTTGTATCTTAAACTTTATTATTTTTAGCCAAGATGTATTCTTCATATTCTTTAAAATCATGATAAATAATTTATAATAATAAATGACAGATTATCAGAAAATAACTTCATATGAACTGATTATATTATTATTATTATTATATTATTAATTATATTATTGTTATTATAGTATACAGGGTGAATAAAAAGTCTGGAACACCTGAAATATCTTCAAATTTAGACATATGAATATGGGGTATTGTAAACCACTCCTATGTCAATTTAGACATAGGAAAAGACGACAAATTTATTATAGTCTTTGACACCTGAAAAGATTTTTTCAAAAAAACTCGTTTTGAAGATATTTCAGGTGTCCCAGACTTTTTATTCCCCCTTTATGTATACAAAAAAAATATACTTGATAAAAACATCTAAAAGTTATTAAAATCACAATATATGAAAGGCAGTTTAAAAATGGTTGGATATTCTATTCACCTATCTCACTTATCATATGAAACAAAAACGTGTTAAAAAACATAAGTCCACAAATTAGTAGTTTCAGAAGTAGAGTTAATTTTGAATTTTAGTCGAAAGAATAAATCTATTAAATAAATTTTATATAACAATAAACACTTAAAGTAATTGTTCTGCATGTCCTCCGTCTATTTATATACAAGCAGAATCGTCGCAGAAACAAAGGTCTAGTCTTTCGAAAATCCTTGGAATAACTTGTGGCGCTTGAAAACATTAGCGATTTTAAAAATCCCCAAATGCAAAAGGCATGTGCATTTATGAAAATCGAGGAATCCGGGTACCGTGCCTTCATGCTTGTCTGAGTTCATCCTAGTTAGTTATTATAATAATATTAATGTAGGAAATTTCTTATGACAACTGTAAAATGGGGATGAATACGCGAGAACCAAGGTTACATCTAATATTTGACGTGACATATTCCACAGAGGAGAACAAACTCTTTAGTTAAAATATTGATGTAATCCAACAGTCTTCAAAATACTGAGAAAAACGTTCATAGAAAACTGAAGCTAATGTTTGAACTTGACAACGGTATGAAGATTTTTGTCAGCCCCTACAATACTTTAGGAATTATTTAATATGTAATTAATATGTCATGAGAAAGGCAGCAGTCTAGCGAACCTATTTTTACATAAGGACTTAACGGTAGAGGGCCTCATACAACTTCTTTGCTAAGAAATGTCGAAAACCAACGCTAACATAATATCTCCAAAACTGAAGACGATAAACATGAACGAATACGACATAACTGTCGGTCATTTTTTGTAGTTTCTGTATGATTTATAAAACAGAACGTCGCGCCTTTATTTCTTTATGTAGGTAAGATAACGGGGCGACGTACTGTCTGGAACGCACCATCTGTTCCGATTGGACGAAGCCCCCCACACCCCGCAGAGCTTATTTCTATTTCTTTTTAATTTATAATTCGCTTAAATCGCTCTAAAAAAATAGGGAGACATAACTTTGTAAAACTGAGAAAGGTATCCGATAAACGCAACTATTTGAAATACTTTGGTCAAATCCGCGATGAAATTCACCACGCCGTTTTCGGCATAACGACGTCTTACTAAATCGCGATTTTCGGCGAAACTATATGGAATATCGAAAAATTAAAATATGCCCCTCATTAAGAACACATCAGGCTACCACGTATTTTTCATTTAACTCGCGATAAAAGAAAAACCGCGCATCCGCAAATTTTTAAATTAACATATGTTATGTAGAAATCTTCAGTGATTACAACAAACTTTGCCCAAATTTTTTTTATCGAGCGGTTGAAAAATATCGATCTCTAAAATGAGGGGCTTTGACTTTTGGCACGGATAGTAGTTGATACTATTGATTGGTCTAGTTTTTCTGTATGATACCGACATTTTTTTCACTTTGGTTGCAATACATCTTTTACTGATGACTTACTACTAATGTTGTGTTAATAATTAATAATTGCTTTCCTAAATAATCCCACACTCTATGGAATTCATATCTGCTGATTCTAATCGAAAATGGAGGTGCTTGGGCACTTTACATAAAAGCCATTAGCTAATATGAATAAGCGTTGTTATGTTTTAGGTATTGGACTAACTGGAAAATCCAATTATACAGCATTTGGTGAAAATTGTCCTCTAAAATATTTAAATATTATTGCCATTATATTTCTATAAAAACTAAACTAAAACACAAAAAAGACGCAACTTCCAAAACAGCAGTAGATACTCACACCATAACACCTCCCCTCACATTTACCTATTCGCAGATCTTTTAAGTGTACTACTTTACCAACCTTCTTCCAAATTTTATTTCTACCATCGCATCCAAAAGTGACCTTTTAACTCGACAAAAATCCTTATAATTCACTATCTTACCTCAAATCATACTATGAATAGTTTGAATCCGACTTCATATTATACCTTACATTTCCGTTCAAAATGGTTATTTCTTCGTCCAATTTAGTTAATGTGCCATATTAAACAAATTGGAGTCTATCTATTTAGCTTGTGTGTTATATTCTAAAATTTGGAATTTGTGCTACAAGTTCTGACTTATATCTTAGTTTTGAAAAAAATACTAACTTTGAACATTTTTTCAAAATAGTTTTACTCTATATTCTTTCAGTGTATTTCGAGTTTCCTTATCAAACGTAATAGGTCTTTGTAATTTAAAGTTAAGCTTATCTCAACTCCAACACAATTTTCAACAACTACGTAAGAAGATAAATCGTATACTTTAGCAAAGTTCTTGCGTTACAAATAACTGTAAAGCTCCTGTTTTACTGTTACGAATCTGATTTTATATTAGTTTATGTTCTAAGCTCCAATCTAGGAGCTAATGAAGACTTCTACTTGCATGTATATTGAGAATACCGGATGTTACCTTTTGTTCTGCTCTCGACCGTTTCTTTCCGTCTTCTTTAAACCGTTTGATCTAGAGAAGACTGAACCGGTCTTTCAGTCTTCTCTTTGTTTCTCTCACGTTGTTTCTGGTCTCTCCATCTCTTTGGTAATCTGCATAGTGGTCTGCTTTCGGGCAGTTTACTTATAAGCACAATTTTCGACAGTTAGTTATCTGGAATCTATGGACGTAATTGTGCCAAAATTTATTATGCTGTCTTCCCCATCTTACAATGTCTCTAACAATGTCCCCGCATTGGTCTCTATCTTGTCTGGTCTTTTCTGAGCATACAGGGTCTTCATATTTACTACTCTTAGTATGCTGTTAGTTTTATTTGTGTTTTTGCGTGTTTTAACGTCGTAACTCATTATTATGAGGATGCAGGTCTTATGTGAGAGGTTACTTAACATAATGCACACTTAAATAGGAAAATTTCATCTCTTGTTCAATGGGAGTGTTTACGTCCTTTCGTCCGGTTGCATAAAAAACATATTTAAATATTTTAAAACCGTTATTATTTTTTCAGTATATTAAAAATGGGTTTAGGAGGACAAGATATTTCAGTTCAAGACTACGTTTGCAGTTTACCACTAGATGTAAAAAAAGTGGCTTTAGAAGAATTACGCGAAAATGAATCGATAAGAGAACAATCATTAGAACAAATGCGCGATTGGATCAACAAAAATACCAACATCAAAAGATGCAGGACCGATGCGCCATTCCTATTAAGATTCTTGCGAACGAAAAAATTTAGTGTTCCTTTAGCTTGTGAAATGCTAGAAAGATACTTGATTGTGCGACAATTGTATCCAAATTGGTTCAAGAACTTGGACTGGGAAGATCCAGATATCAAAAACATTATTGAAGATGGTTATTTAGTTCCAATGTTGGAGCGAGATAGCGGTAAAACGATCCTTTTTAGTTGTGCAGGTCGATTTGATCCTCACAAATATACAGCTGCTCATATGATTAAAGTTCATAGTATCATTTCGGAAACTCTTATGGATGATGAAACCAATCAAGTTCATGGTTATACTTATATTAACGACGAGGGTGGTTTTCAAATGGCTCATCTTTCTTTGTTTACATTAACAGATATTCGAAATGCTTTAAAATGTATACAGGTTAGTAGATTGTTTTATTTATTATTCAATTTTTTGCGATAGGTTGTTTTGGATTGTTGTTGCGTGACTTTCTTTTGAAATAGAAAGTTTACTTTCACGTTTTCTCGCGAACGTCTTTTTAGAGTCTCTTTGGTGCTTGGTACAGATGTGGTTTAGGTTTTTACAAGTTTAGATCCACTTCTATACGCTTTCTAAATATCAAGTAAATCTATACAAAAAATAACAATATTTTTTTATAATTAGCATTCATCTCCGATGCGTCACAAAGAAAATCACTTCATCAACATTCCTCCAAGTGCTGTTAAACTTTTGGATTTTGCTATGGGTTTCTTATCCGAAAAACTGAAAGGACGGATTTCCGTAAGTTTTAAATTAGTAAAATTTAAGTAAAATTGTTTATTTTTTAAATATTTTTTTTAGCTTCATAAATCTGTTGAAGAATTGCACAAAAAAATCAATCCGAAGCTTTTACCAAAAGAATATGGTGGTGACGTGCCGTTAAAAGAAATGATTGAAAAATTCAAATTGAAACTACAAGAGAAAAAGGAAACGCTTCTCGCTTTAGATGATATGTACATAGAAATCGAAAAATCTAATCAGTTCGTTTCCGAAATTAATGAAGAACTCGGTTTAGGCGTAGAAGGAAGTTTTAAGAAACTACAGGTTGACTAATTCTTTTTCATAAAAGCTTCTTAAAAGTACTAGTCTTTTGATGGTGTGTATAAGTCTAGAACTGTTTTACTTGTATTCCTAATGAACAAAAAAAACATGAAACTTATTAATCTCGTTCAATTAACTTCGTAATAATTTCGTATAATCTCGTAATTCATAAGTTATTTCTTAATTTCTATAAGATTCGTTTTTTTTGACGGATTTGTTTTTGTGTTAACGTATTCGTTTAGAGATATATTTAAAGCCTTAGGTGGTTTTTAGTTACCTTCGTTTTTAACGATTGACTCGTTGCTTATTATATTTTTGTATATCATAAATTTAGTTTTTGTCCAATTTTATTTCGTTTAGTTATTTTTTATTTGAAGCACTTGTGTTATTATCTACGGTTGTTTGTTGTTAATTGTGTTATAAAAAATAAATTTTATATAATTTTGTTATGGGTCTATGAATTTATTTACTAATCTTTAACGAAAAAAATTGTGTCGTTTATACAAATTTAATCCACTTTCTTATCTAAAATCTTTAAGAAGAATAAATATGACGATAAACAGGACTAGACCATTATTTAGATAAATGAGATAAATATAAACTCTTTCAATACTTCTTTATATATCTTTGAAAATCTTAAAAAATGAGGTAACATATAAATAAAATTTATTTAGTTTTTGTTAACACCTTAGAAATTTAAAAGAAAGATTTTTTCTTCGTTTAAAGTGTATTTTAGACTGTCTTGAATGAGAATCTATTGACAGAAAAAATTTGCTGAACGTTTTTCTATCTAAAAATTTAATTTTTATAACGCACCTACTAGTCGAAAATTCCAAGCTATCTGTAACCTCTTCGTGTTGTTCTCAGAAAACTATTATATTTTAACGTTTTTAAGTAGTAAGATCAAAATATGTACCTAGATATATACAGGATGTCCCACGTAATCAACAAAGTACATAAATGGTATTAATTAGCCGAGATACGCAGTTCTTCCTTAGACAAAAGTTGTAGGAAACTTAGCGCACTATAAACGGAAAATATTTTTATACATACAGTTGTTCCATAACGACGTACTGAAATAAACATATTATGTTATTTTAAATGGAATGATATAGTTTTTATTGCATATTCTGATTCTACACACAAAACTAAGTTGACTTTGATAAGACATGTTGAGTTATTTTAATTAGAAGCATTGTTTAGCAATTTACACTGTGCAATTTAAATCTGAATTTCTTGGCAACTGATCGAGCTAGAAAGTTAAAATTTGTGACAGTTGCTGCTTGGATAGCCTTAAATAAAATGCGATTGGCTACATTGGGCAATCTTATTTAGGGTGTTCAAAAATGTAACTACTGTTTTATCATATTCAATTGCAACAAAGTCGAAAATTTTAAATGGAACACCCCATATTCGAGTAGTTAATCAGATACAGAATTTAATTCTCTACAAATCATCAGTACATGTCCCTATACCTATCAGTTGTAGTTTTTGAGATATTGTGGAATTAATCAATATCATGCAAAGTATGACAGATCTTGTTCATTTTTTCATTAGCAGGTCATGAAATATAAGGATAAATAATTTTCGACCAAACTTTATTTATAAGTGTTCAAATATCTGCCATCTGTGCTTTATGCATAGATGAAGCCGATTTACGAATTCGGCTTGCGCATTATTTAGTGTTCTAGACCTCCACGGCCAATCGAATGTCTTCCATATACAATATTTAAAAAAATTTGAAAAACGTCCCTGAAATAACGTGCAGGTGCTTCGTCGTGTTGACATATTATTTTTTGTCTAGTTTCTAAATCTACATATTCTAGCAACTCTTCTTGTAAAAAAGCTTTGCAAATTTGTCCCGCCGGTTTGCCTAATTATTTTACGGTTAAATATTCTGCCCCAAACATTTAACGACCATACATTTTGATTATTTACGCGTTTTAGCCATAGAGGATTTTCGGTTGAATAATAATGCATATTATGTCGGTTTACTAACCAGTTACTTTTAAAAGTAGATTCATCACTACATAGAATTGATGATACGAAAAGAAACGGTTTTCATTTATTTCATCTAAAGTTATTGTACAGAAGGCTACTCTGTTAGCAAAATCATCTCCATGAAATTCTTGATGGTAGTTGTGAAGCTTTTACTCATATCTTCTGTTGTTCTAGCGATCTGTCGTTCTGACATGCGGATTCTCTTAAGGCCGATTTACATCAGACGAGCGAATGCTCGTTCTATCCCCAAGTAAGGGCCGATTTACATCAGACGAGCGAATGCTCATTCTATTCCCACTCTATCATATTCTTTTAGTGTAAACCAGATGTAGAACATTCTTTCGTTGTTCTGTCTGTGTTCTCAAAGATTCTAGGGAATATTCTAGGAATGTTCGATCGCTTGATGTAAACGGCACTAGAGCGTGCGAACAATTGCTTAGAGCCTTCTTGCGTGTTTGGACGTGCTCGTTCATCGGAGCGATCTCTTCAAAGTGTTCTTGTGTTCTAGCCGAATGAGCATTCGTTCGGCAGATCTAAACATCTATGTGCAAGAATTCTAATTCTTGATTCTCATTTTTGCTCGTTGATATTTTGGTGTAAACGCTAAAAACGCGCTTTCGTGTACACTAAAAGATCAAGAAAGAATGCTCTTGTTCTAGCTCTAGCTCTTTGTTCGTTTGGTTTAAATGTACCTAAAGATTCTAGGGAATATTCTAGGAATGTTCGATCGCTTGATGTAAACGCCACTAGAGCGTGCGAACAATTGCTTAGAGCCTGCTTGCGTGTTCGGGCGTGCTCGCTCATCGGAGCGGTCTCTTCAAAGCGTTCTTGTGTTCTAGCCGAATGAGCATTCGTTCGGCTGATCTATACATCTATGTCTCGCAGAGAGAATTGTCAAGCTTAGCAGTAATTCGCCGGCGAAAAGTAATAAAAAATCTGTAATTGCGAATTTCGCCTCAGAGCACATATCTGCACTCGTACCTCAATCCATAAGTGCAGTTCGTACTGGTTACTCAAATTTTCAAAGAGGAAGGGTGTTGATAGTGTGCCACTGACGCGAGACTGTGCAATTTTGCATCTAAATATAAATAGGTTATTAAATAAGATCGAGTCGCTAGACATATTCTTAGATGAATGTAATCGTCCAGAAATCGTATGTATTACTGAAACGTGGCTTCCACGAGAAATTGTAACCGGTGTTAAACTTCGTAATTATCTGTATGGCGCCTCTTATTCTAGAACTAATGCGCGTGGTGGTGTCGCGCTCTTTGTCAAACAGGACATCGATTTTAAAGAGTTAGTTTGTTCTGATTGTGTTTGTGTTGAAAAGACCTTGGAATACGCCTGCGTTGAGATACGATCCCATGGCTTTTCAATGATGGTTCTGTGTATATACCGGCCTCCTTCGGGGGTTATATCGCTATTCGCGGGCTTACTTGAGCGTTTACTTCTTAATTTTCGCAGTAGTCGTGGTCCCTTGGTTGTTTGTGGGGACTTCAATATGGATTTTGCGGCTCATCAGTGTCCCCATGTGATTGACACAATTAATATTCTTATATCCCATGATCTTCACCAACGAATCTTCAGTCATACTAGAGTAAAGAACGCATCAGCCACTATTATTGACAACATATTTACTAACGTGGTAGTACCTAACAGCTCCAGGGTGGTTCACACGAGCTTTTCCGATCACCTTGCTCAAATTACTTCTATTCCTATTCCAGTGTGTGCCAAAAGTATACACCCACATTTTGCATTGACACGTCGGTTTAATAAGGTTAACCTGAGTAGTTTTGTAACAACCCTGAGCACCTTTAAATACTTAAACTCCCATTTCAATTTTCAGGCATCTTTTTCGTCATTTTACAGTCACTTCTGTAATGGCTTCCAAATCCATCGACAAGGGATGGATTACGCAGGATATTAGGAGACAGTCTAGCGACCTGAGGAGCCTCCATCACTTATGTAAATTAGTAAGGAATCCGGCTTTAGATGCGGAATATAAGAATCGGCTGAGATGTCATTTGGGGTCTATTGAGACTGCCAAAAAGATGTACTATAGTAAGCTATGTTCAACAGCAAGCAATAAGTCGAAAATAGCATGGGACCTGGCCCGACAGGAGCATTCCTTAGATAAAATTATTATAGCGGCTAATACCTTTATAGGTGATAATGGTGCCGAGGTCTCAGCTCTCATTGATATTGCTAAACTTTTTAATGAATTTTTTATCAATTCTGTTGGGAAATTGGTGAGCTGCTCGACTGTAAATGTTTCTGAGGCACTAATAATCATAAAAAATAATGACTGCTCACTTTTTCTAACTCCAGTTACAGCTTCAGAAGTTGCTAACATAATTAAGTCCGTGGCTGTCAAGCGCTCGAGCGGTTGTGATGAGATACCTTGTTCCTTGTTGGGCAAAGTCAAGGTTTATATATAAGAGGTTGTCTAGATTCGTACGCAACCATACTGCGCATTACGTCACATGTGGAAAATAATACCGCCAAGCAATTCAAATTAAACAAATGCACGGAGCACCACATGGCCATGAGGTTGCGTGCGCAATCCGTGATCGCTTACGTCACGAAACACTCCTGCTCTTGCCCCTCGCCCACAAACTAAAATCAAAGTATTGCAGCATAGGAACTTAGACAACCTTTAATATATAAACCTTGGGGCAAAGTATCTCACATTGTAACTGATACATTGACAGCTCTTATTAATGAGTCGTTTGTATGCCGGGAATTTCCGTGTGAGCTCAAGATAGCCTCCATAACCCCCATTTTCAAAAAGGGAGATCCTTCAGTGATGTCCAATTATAGCCCTGTAGCTGTTCTTCCGGCAATTTCAAAGATTTTTGAAAGAGCATTTTTTACGCGACTAAATGAATTCGTTAACAAGTGTAATATAATTAATAATCATCAGTTTGGCTTTAGGACTGATAAGTCAACTCAGGATGCTGTTTTGGATTTTTATGCATCTCTGGTGGAGGGTCTGGATGCTTGGTCTGTCTGTTGTGGCCTATTCTTTGACTTGTCTAGAGCGTTTGATACTCTACATCACCAGCTACTCTTAGAAAAATTGAGTCGATATAGTATTCGAGGCCCAGCCTTAACGTGGATTCAAAGTTACCTGTCTGGTAGGCAGCAGCTGGTAAAGTGGTCAAAGAATAATAGTACTGTCTACTCGTCTCTTGTCCCAGTGCAATATGGAATCCCTCAGGGGAGCATATTGGGGCCGTTGCTTTTCATTTTGTACATAAACGATGTCCCTTTAACTTGTACAGATTGTACACAGGTTTTATTTGCCGACGATCGTTCCGTCGCAATAAAGGCTAAATCAGTTCCGCAGTTGTCAATGAGGATCACTGATGTTGCTCGCGAAATGTTACACTGGTGTAACACCAATGGTTTGATATTGAACTGTGGTAAAACGCAACTAACGCAGT